ATTACTCTAGGGAGCGCGTATTTGCGGACCATTACTCTAAGGGGGGGGGGGGGTATATTTGCTGACCATTACTCTAGAGGGCGCGTATTTGGGGACCATTACTCTAGGGAGCGCGTATTTGCGGACCATTACTCTAGGGGACGCGTATTTGCGAACGATTACTCTAGGGGGCGCGTATTTGCGGACGATTACTCTAGAGGGCGCGTGTTTGCGGATCATGACTCTAGGGGGCGCGTGTTAGGAGACCATGACTCTTGGGGGCGCGTGTTAGCGGACCACTACTCTAGGGGGCGCGTATTTGCGGACCATTACTCTAGGGGACGCGTATTTGCGGACGATTACTCTAGGGGGCGCGTATTTGCGGACGATTACTTTAGGGGGTGCGTATTTGCGGACGATTACTCTAGGGGGCGCGTGTTTGCGGATCATGACTCTAGGGGGCGCGTGTTAGCGGACCATTACTCTAGGGGACTCCAGCGCAAATACAAGGTGTGCTTGCAAGCGTGCAAGGTTACGTGAAGGATGGCTACACCAGAGTGTGCTTTGCTGGTCAATCGGTTCGACACCATAGCTGGTTTAGCCTGTAGCCATCATTCATATGCTAGAATATTGCAACGTTATTAAATGTATTTATCATATATTTTCATTGCTGGGGTGGCCTACGATTTAGGACAAGCTAGTACGTGGTACGTATGCCAAATAGATGGTTAGGTTTCAGATGTAGGATGGTATAGATATCCTCTATGACAAACGTCTTTCCTCTACCTTGCGCATGGGCATGGGCATGATTAGCATTGCGCATGAGCATGGGCATGATCAGCATTACGCATGGGCGTGGGGATTTGACCTTTATTGCCCGTGGGCAATGTAGAGAGGAAACGTTTTCCATAGCGCCTATATATGCTATATGCCATGCTGAACTGTGTCGAGGTTATGCTGCTTAGTGTGAGAACTATATATAGGTTTTGCTTTTACGAGTACGTGCCGTGTTTGCTTTTGCTATTGTAAAAATGGTCCAAGCACGCTGTACTTGTTGGTGCTAAGGCTGGCAAGGGCGGTTAACTGCTGATCGCTGGAATTGGCGTGACTTCACGAAACAATTAAAAAGAGTACGGAAGAGAACAGACAAGCACACGGTTAACGAAATTACATTTTTCCAGTGTAGAGGCTGGCATGCGTCCTGTGGGCGATCTTGTGCCAACGCGGATGTTTCTAGCTTGTCGATGTATGTCCCTGAGAAATCCGTCATATTCAGGTACTTGAGCAGTGACTCCAGGGTTGGGCTTCTCGATTCTGGAGAATGTCTTGCCCACCTCACTAGAGCCTACGGCGCGGTCATATATCGTAATTATTTATAGGGAAGTCACCCGCAGTTAATACTCGCTAAAATATAGGCAGCACTAAATTTCCCTTCTATGCTGGAGAGCACTGCCCTGAGCGGCGATATTCTGCCAGACTGTAAACTAAAATATATTTACGTGCAACACTTTTCTTTGCATTGAATTTGATATTTAATTTTTATAATTGTCACGTAGCTTCTCGGCTAATAAGAGTAAGCATATCCAGGAGAAAGCCTGGAAGGACAGCAGTGGGAGACAGCCATTAGGAACAACAAGGAATAGAGTGATCTGGGATACCCTGTTGTTGGAACGAAAATCACTGTGTTTAATTATTAAAACTGTTAAGAAAAACTGCCATACACAAACACACACTCTCACACACACACACACACACATGAAACGGATACCAGTTTTACTACTCTGTATCAATTCGCATCATAGAGCCTGGCAAAGTTTCGAGCGGAGCATAGAGCATCGAATCCGTAGTTATTTAACAATGAGGTAAAGTGTATGTTGTGTAAGCGCAGTAACAGGTGAGCATCGTTCTTAATTAATTCTGTTTAAGCTTATCCAGGCTGCGCCTTATGACCCCTCTACTGTGTTCACCACCTCTAGGGGCGCGTGTTCTTAAGCGACCAGTTACTCTAGGGGGCGTCGTGTTTGACGGCACGGCCTTACTCTAAGGGGGGGGGGGGTCATATTTGCGGACCAATACCTAGGGGGCGCGTGTTTGCGAGCCAATTACTCACGGGCGCTATTTGCGGCCATTACCCTAAGACAGGAGGGGGTTACTCTGGGGGTCGCGTTTAGCGGACCATTACTCTAGGAGGCGCGTGTTAGCGGATCATGACTATAGGGGGCGCGTGTTTGCGGACCATTACTCTTGGTGTCGCGTTTAGCGGTTCATGACTCTAGGGGGCGCGTGTTATCGGGCCATGACTCTAGGGGGCGCGTGTTATCGGGCCATGACTCTAGGGGGCGCGTATTTGCGGACCATTACTCTAGGGGGGGCATATTTGCGGACCATTACTCTAGGGGGGCGGGCATATTTGCGGACCATTACTCTTGGTGTCGCGTTTAGCGGACCATGACTCTAGGAGGCGCGTGTTAGCGGATCATGACTAGGGGGCGCGTGTTTGCGGATCATGACTTTAGGGGGCGCGTGTTAGCGGACCATGACTCTTGGGGTCGCGTTTAGCGGACGATGACTCTAGGGGGCGCGTGTTTGCGGATCATGACTCTAGGGGGTGCGTGTTTGCGGACCATTACTCTAGGGGGCGCGTGTTAGCGGGCCATGACTCTAGAGGGCGCGTATTTGCGGACCATTACTCTAGGGGGAGGGGGGCATATTTGCGGACCATTACTCTGGGGGTCGCGTTTAGCGGACCATGACTTTAGGGGGCGCGTGTTAGCGGACCATGACTCTAGGGGGCGCGTGTTAGCGGACCATGACTCTAGGGCAGGAGGGGGGCATATTTGCAAACCATTACTCTAGGGGGCGCGTGTTAGCGGATCATGACTCTTGGGGTCGCGTTTAGCGGACCATGACTCTAGGGGGCGCGTGTTTGCGGATCATGACTCTAGGGGCGCGTGTTAGGGGACCATGACTTTAGGGGGCGTGTGTTTGCGGACCATTACTCTAGAGGGGGGCATATTTGCGGACCATTACTCTTGGGGGCGCGTATTCGCGGACCATTACTCTAGAGGGCGCGTGTTAGCGGACCATTACTGTTGGGGTCGCGTTTAGCGGACCATGACTCTAGGAGGTGTACAACAATAAGCGTCCGCAAAATGTTCAGCGTTGCACTATATCGTCTCTAGAAAATTCATTTTTTAGCATTTTTTTTCGCAGAAATTCGGCACTAGAGTGCAATAATTTGCATTATGCACGCAAGTTATATGCCTCGTGGACGTCTAGAAAGCATTCGAAGTAAAATTGGTCTTGTTGTGTAATTGTGCCATTCCAGCAAGTGGCGTAGCCATGGTCGCCGGTCGGCCATTTTTGTGTTCTCGAAACTTTGGCCCAGTCTATGATGCGAATTCTACAGAGTAAAAGTCGACGCCGGTTTCGATAC